CACACAAAACATGGTAACAGGAATATTCAGTTCAGGTGACATTCCGGGAGCAGTGGAACGACAATCGGCTCCAGTTTGACGACATGAACGGTCAGATCCGGTATCTGGTGCTCACAGATCCGGACAGGATTTGGAAACCCGACCTATTCTTCTCCAATGAAAAGGAGGGCCACTTTCACGAGATAATTATGCCAAACGTTTTGCTCCGTATTTATCCCAATGGGAACGTCTTGTACTCTATACGTATATCATTAGGTTTGCTATGTTTATGATAGTTACCATGTTTATTGTCCGTATCATTTAACCAATTATTACAGTTACTAAACCCCCTGATTAGATATTTATGTATAGCAAATATCTCGCCCTATCCTTTAGAAATACTTACCCTAATGTAATCAAAATGTAAAGTAGACTTTTAAGATGCTTTTATGCAAATGATGCCTATTTTGCTGTTGTTGTTGAATGCAAAACAACGGCAAATATATTTTCTTATTCTTTATTATTACAAATACATGTATTTATTGTATTATCTCTCAATTTTCTATGCAATTTCCCTACGGATGCTCTCATCTCAACTCCAGTACTCGCCTGTCCAATGGATCTCAAATACTATCCATTAGATAAACAAACTTGCTCCATTCAAATGGCCAGTTGTGAGTAGAATTTATTATATAATAATATTATATTATGATTGTTTATGTATTTCTAATTTCATATAGTTTATATAAAGTACAAATACAAGTATGAGTACTAATATGAGTACAAATATGAGTACTAATACAGAATATTTTTATACAATTTCTTATTGTGTTATTATTATTCAATTTGAGTACAAATTCTGGGCAAATAAATTGTTTCTTTTTTAATTTTATATGAAAATTGTATGAAAGAAATGTAAATTTTTAGAATAATATATATTTAAAAATAAATTATTCAAATAAATAGTAAAATAAATTTTGTGTTTGAGAATATTTAATATCAAAAATTTATTTGTTTTGCTTATTTTAGTAGTATTTTTATATATTTTGTTAATTTATTAAAATTACAGATAGAATAGTTATACCCAGATTCTAATGTAATAATATATTAAATATAAAATGCTAGTTTTTAATTAAATAAACACGAAAATGTAAAATATTTAAAAGCATAGTTTTTACATTAATAAAAATGTTGTTAGGATTAGATATTTTAGCTTAATAGCTAATTAAAATTTATATATTATTTTGCACATATAGCAAATATACTAATTTCAATTATTTGTTTTGATCGTGATATAAAATAAAGAGATAATGACATAAACACAGTGTACTAACTATGAATTCGCAGCACATTATTGCAAATCTCAGCATTAATTTAATTAAATAAAATAAATGTGTCCGACTTATGTGTTATCGATAGGGTGACCAGATTTGTAAACTACAACTCAAATTCTGTTTGACTTATTTAATATAAATATAACAAAAAATTATTTGACAGATTAATTGTGCATAAGTTATATAAATTATCCATTTTTTATCTAGATGGTTATACTACAGATGACCTGGTGTTTTTATGGAAAGAGGGTGACCCAGTACAAGTCACCAAAAATCTCCATTTGCCACGTTTTACATTAGAAAAATATTTGACCGCTTATTGTACGAGTCGCACAAATACAGGTAAATTACCATATATTATCTTTTTATAGTTTGTTTTAATTATCTATGATCAAATTTTTAAATAAATTTTATAATACTACAATTGCTATAACAATTACATAATGCAATTGATTGGCAAATACGTGAAAGTATAAGAGCTGTGATTTTGTTGTTTGTATTTAAAGCAACAAAAAATAAACTCAATTTACTTTTTGTATAGAAATTTTGAGTTTTGCTACACTTTTTTGTGTTCAATTATTTTCCATTTCGTGCGATAAAAGCATTTTCAGTCATCTCTCTCTCTCTCTCTCTCTCTCTCTCTCTCTC